TCTGTTTATTTCATTGTTTTATGCCATTGGGAAAGACAAGATCTTTAAGCATTGTTGGCTTATCTTTAAGATAAAAATAAACCTATAGTGCGAAACCTAATTGGTTTTAATAATAAAAACCCAGAATCAGATATAGGGGTAAATGCTGAAAGATCAGCGAGACAAAGGAGCTAGCCAAACTTACCTCTTACCTCACCAACTCCTCAGCCTGGAAAAGGGGGGCTGAACTCCTGTCTCCTTCTGTCTTATATTCCTTCCTCTGCCCAGCCATATCTCTTCCTGTCTCCACCTCCCTAGTGCTGAGGTTAAAGCTGTGTGCTTCCCAAGTACTAGGATCAAAGGCAGGAGATCCCAAGTGCTGGGATTAAAGGCATGTGCCACCACTACCTGTCCTCTATGGTTAACTAGTGGCTAGCTCCACACTCTGATCTCCAGGCAAACTTTATTTATTAGAGCACAAGCAAAATACTACTATATAACCTTATTTCATTAAGTTGTGGTTATGATTAAAGCAGGTAATATATTTGAAAGATTTAACATCATAATACTATTGGTGACATCATCACTTTATAAGCCAGTGGCTGCATTCTGTTTTTACTGTATTGCCTTATGTTTGGAAAATCTGGTCACTGGAAAATCCAATTTACAAATATATGAAGTAAAGAGGTCACAAAAGTCACTGCTTTTGTGAGGGGTGGGATCATTACAGTTCAAATCGGAATTTATTTTACAAGTAACACATTCACCCATTAATACTTTTGTCTTGAGAGAACTTTTTTCTCCTGACTCACATCATAACTACAGAGATTAAGTAACAAATACTCCGGAAACAAGAACCATCTGTGTCTGAGTAAGCAAACGAAAAGCACAATCTTATCCTGAACCTAATCCAAACTCCTAAATTATGAGTTTGGATAGCAGTAGAAATTATTAGGACATAATTGTAAAAAAACAATCACAAGCTCTATTATTTTTATAACGAAACAGCATAGGATCCCAAATAAGCAATCTGTATATCAGACCCAGCTATAAAATCTACTTGACAATGTCAATAATAAAACCCTTCCACATTTAGAAGCTCTATCCCAAAGCTGCACAAAAGCATAGTCTATTTTCAGACATGTCTATTCCCAAATCCTATTAAAGTATATTTCAAAGGTTTTTTTTTATTTTTTTAGTGTTTTCTCTAAATTGATCCTCAAGCCCCTTCAACCTTTTCAAAAATATTTTTTTTTAGTGATTTAGGGCAATGGTTGAGAAAAAATTATATTTCTTTACTACTCTGTGTAATTTTTTTTTGAGATTGTAATTTACTTTCAATATTTTTCTCTTCCTTTTCCTCCTTCCAAGCACTCTCATATACCCCTCAAATTCCTGGCCTCTTTTTTCATTAATTGTTGTCACATGTATATGTGTATAATTTCGTGCATGCGTGCGTGCGTGCGTGCGTGCGTGCGTGCGTGTGTGTGTGTGTGTGTGTGTGTGTGTATTCCTAAATATAACATGTTGAATCCGTATAATGTTACTTGTACCTTATATGTATGCTTTCAGGGCTGATTTTTTGGCAGTGGCTTTCTTTTGTTTCTTCATTTTACTTTTCTGTCACCAATTGGTATTTATGTAAATACCCCACATTCATAATGTCTTTTCCCTATGTTGTCTGTGCTAGTCTTTGGATATGAAGCACAGGATTAAAGTTTTGCTGCTGTGATGATAATTAAGGAGGCTGTCGTCTTTGACAGACAACTGTTATTGCCAGCAGGAGAGGCAAATTTACAAATGTCTTATGCTGTAAATAAAAAGCTAGAAATCAAATACAGGAAGCGGCAAGAAGCTCTGTTTCCCTGTATTCTGTTTCCCTGTATTCGGCTTTCGATGTCTCTGGAAATGTTCTGAAGAAGGCAAATACATGAAAGACCCTGGGTCCCACAAAATAGTATGATTAGCTTTCCTTATTTATTTTAATAATATTTTATTTCCTGTTTGAACATTTCATGTATGTATATAATGTGTCTTGTTTCACCCCCTTCTTCCTCTCCAGTTTCCCTTAGAATGCTAAACACATTTCTCTCTCAACTTCAATATTTGAAAAAAGTACTACTATTGACCCACTGAGTCTAATTATTGCTGCCCACGTGTGTCTGAGTATATGCCATCCACTGAGGAAAGTGCAACCCACTCGTGACTACTTTTTCAAAGAAGTATTGACTATTGTTCTCTCAGAAACCCTCAAGGACTAGTAACTCTTCAGTTAGGCATGAGACCTTGATGGCCCTTCCCCACCCTAGCTGGAATTTTTAACTTTCTTGCTTTCATGCAGGTCTTGTGCACAACAACCACAGTGGCTCCGAGCTCTACAACTCAGCTATCCCTCAAATGCTGTGGTTTTGCTCATCTCTTTATCAACTAACATTCATAGACTACCAGACCTCACTCTTCGCCCCTGCTCGCTCATCACTGCATCTCCTTCAGGTTTGTAGAATTTAGCTTTGACCTTTGTTATTCTCATCACGGTGGTTGTTCAACAATAACACTGGTTCTGTTTCCCATTCTTTAAATTCCATTCACTGTAGTTGTCCAATGTACCTCCTAAGACTGAGCTATATTGAGTTTAACTTGTCATCTGTGGCAACATTTTTCTAGAATTTCTTCCCAATAATATATAAATGAAAGGTTTTCTTGAGGGTGCAGTTCTTGTAGTGATTTTGCTTTCTTTCAGTAAATTCATCTGAAATCTTGAGCCAACATTCACATGTTTTCTTAATAATTTATCTTCAGTCCTAACTCCCTTTGACTGTAGACTTAAATATCCCAAACCACAAACATGTTAATATTGCATTTATTAACAACCCTATGAATATTTCATTTTCATATATTCCAATTATTTCTTAATGTGTTTGACATTATCCTACTTATATGATTGTTTTAGCTCTGACTCACAGGTACCCAGAACCTTTACATCCGCACTATATCCATCATCTCTATTGACTCCTGTTCCTTCCACATTCATTCCCCTTTGTTCCCCCTTTTCATATTTTCTTGTTTTATTCATGGGGGAGATAATTGGAATTTTCCTCTAGGACCTCCTTGAACATGCTAAGCAAGTGCTCTGTCTCCCCCTGAGTGATGTCATAAGTTCTCTCTTACGTTCTTACTTTTAAAAGGGACTCTCTAAGGAGCTCAAGATTGCCTTGAACTCATAATCCTCAGACCTCAGCCTCCCAAATACCTAAAATTACTGAACCACACTGTCCTGTTTTTTCCCCATTTTCTATTCCTATTCTTGGAATAGTATGAAAACTTATTGCATAATCTTGGTTCGTTGGTAAAACAATCTTTGAGGCAAAGCATCTGGTGTTAGCACGTGGCTCCATTGTCAAAGTGCTTGTGATCCAAACACGGGGACCTGATTTCAATCCTCACACACCCATAAGAATTTGAGTGTGCCTTCAAGCACAGTGCTGGGAGGTAGAGACAGGAAGATCCCTAGCGTTTTTTTTGGATTCCCAATAGCCAAGTCAGTGAGCTCCTAGCTAAAAATACGTAAGCAATAAAGTCGAGAAGCAATTGAAGAAGACACCTGATGTCTCTAGCCTCCACATGTACACATTCACCTGCACACATGTGCTCGCACAGGCACAGGCACGCACACACATGCAATAAATAAACAAGTAAATAAATAAATAATTACCAAATAGTTTCTTTGCTCCTTAAAGTTTGGGCAGTTCCCCTCTGACCTCTGAATAGCTTTCAGTAACCATGGTGCTGATGAACTGTTTTGTCCTGTGATCTGTTTTGCCAATTTGTGTGTGTGTGTGTGTGTGTGTGTGTGTGTGTGTGTGTGTGTGTATGTGTGTGTGTGAGTGTTGTTTCTCTATGTCCTAACATTGACCAAAATACACAGTCAACTGTCCTCAGGTTGCTTTACTTTGTTGCACAGAGTCCAGTGAACGTGCTGCTAGTCATTTTTCATTACTCAGCCTCCACTTACATTACTAAATATCTGAACACCCCAATTTTAGATTGCTTTGTTTTCAACTGCTTTGACATTTTATTCATACCTGTGTTTAATATTTAAGAGGCACTTACAGAATAAACTATTTCAAATTTAAAGTCAAGAGTTATTAGCAGAGAAATAGATATTTATAGATCCTGAAGAAAAACAGCTTTGTGGGGATGCAGGGGTTGGGCCATGTTCCCCCATGAGTTTTGTACGCCATCTAGTGACAACTCCACCTCACTACAAGACTCTCCTGTAAATCTATGAAGTCTGCAGATAAATTTTTCGATTTTCTTCAGGAGAGATTTCAAAGTAGAGCTTTCTTTAATATATATTACATAGAAATAAATTCTATATTTACTACTAGTTCCTTTTGATTAAATACTGTAAACCATTTTACTATTTATACAGTAATTACTACATACATATTTATTATTCATATACTATTATATCATTTATATTATTATAAAAATGTTTCATGAAACATGCACCTGGCACCTTGTTGTATGTTAGCATTAATCAATGATGTGCATGGGTCCATTTACCAAGATGACATTTGGAGGAAATCTGAAAGCTCTAGCGAGTATCTGATGCATTCAAAAGTCCTTTCTCCTGATGTGACACACACAGCAAATTCAGCAAAAATATCAAACACTGATTAATGGAAAATATAAAGTGTGGATCCAGGTGACTAGTTTCCATCAACTCTGGCTGTATACACATTACCCAGACACTCTACAGGATCATTTTCACAACTGAAAACATGGGGAGAAGTAAGTTTTTGTTGCAACTATGAGGTGACATGCAGAAAATAGACCTTTGAAGGCTTTCAGCAAATATAGATGGCATTTTGTTTCTATTGATGTGCCCATTTTACTTTTATTTACTCAATAAACATGTGTCCAGAGAATTACAAAATAAATGATCTGTCTAGCCACTAAAATGTTCATCCCCTCCATTTAAAAAAATGCTCAGGAAGAAGTCAGTTGCTCATACTTACAGCTTTCTAGTTGCATTATGCATGTTTGTACGTCCATTGGGAAATTCTTGAGATCCATTGGACAGGACAGTGTTAATGTTAACCTGAAAGGATGAAAGGAATTCTTTTAAAGGCAACTCTTTTACACCAACAAATGAATATTCTATTGCCTAGAGAAAACATTTTTTATGTTGACAGTGACGAAAACTGTACTGCTGATTTTTTTCCAACTTAAGAATGTTATTTATTCTGAAATATCTATGTATTTACAAATTAATCTGGTTTTTTTTGGCAAGAAAGACAGTGAAGTATCATTACAAGTATAACATTCTGTACATTTACTTTTTCATCTGTTTATTATTTTTTTCTCTTAGAATATAGTAGAAATGCCTAGAAGAGGCCTTTCCTTCAAAAAATGGTTTCCAGAAGATAAATCTGAGTGTGGATTCTATAGAATTACCAAATGGCAAAAGGCACATTTCATTTAAAATCCTATTACTACAATTTAAGAGGTCAGTATATTCTGGAAAAGTGAAATTCTAAATTTGGAAAAACGAGGTGTAGAGGAATAATCCTATATGACAAATCTGGTCATTTTTGCAGCTCTCTCTGGCAAGTTGTCAGTGGATAGAGAGGCGTTGAGCACAGCAAATTTGATGAACTTGAATGTTTGTTAGTAGAGTGAGCAGTGGTTCCTGCCTCTGGCTTGAACATTCTATCAGGTTCCACAGGAGCCAGGAAATAGTTCTATAGAATTGTGACATAATTTCATGCTCATGAAACCAGTTTCTGATTTTTTATTCACTTGAAGGAAATGCAGAAGTCCTACACCAGCATCCTGCCCTTGTAACGAGAACTCTTGCACCCCCAGAGACTTAACAAGTATGTCCCATATGATCCATTACAAATATATATATATACACATATACATATGCATGTGTATACACATATGCATGTGTGCATACACATGCATTTTATATTGTACATATATTAACACACACATGTATATATACATATATATATGTATATATTAAAATATATTACTGGTATATCTTCCATTTTTACCAAGAATTTGTGGCTTATGAAACTGGGAGAGAGGAAGAGAGGGAGGTCCAGATGCATGGTCAATATTCTTCCAAGTTTTTTTCAGAGAAATCCCACTCAGCCACTTTGATTAATTTCTTCACTGACATCCATTGTACTAGTGAGCATGCCACATGGTTAGTTTGCTTAAGCTTTGTGACCAGAGGCATATTACTCCAAACTCCCTAAACAATACCTTTTTCATCTCTAAAATGAAGATGGCAATGGTGTCTATTGGAGAATTGAGATGTGTAATCATGAGTTGTGTGTGGAATATTCTTTGATAAGTGTTTGACACATAGGAAATACTGAATGCTTATTAAATTTAAATGATTAACTGTTGACTCCCCCATATTCTCTGCCTCAAAATTCTAATGTATGGACATAAAGATGAATTAATTAAATAATACATGGGAATTATTTATACTTTGACAAAAAAATAACTAGCAATCTAACAAATACAGCTATATTCTCTGAAATGGCGTTTTTATGTAGACCGTAGACATAAAGTTACAATGATATATAGTCTCTAGTGAATATCTGGCTGACATAGGTCCAATTAGAAGTGCTGGGGAGACATAAATGGACAGACAAACGGGATTGCTGGATTTTTAAGAGTCCCAGAAGGATCATTGGGTAATTCGTTCAAGTTAGAGTCCTTAGCAAACTAAAATAATCAGAGATCTCGATATTCAAAAGCAGTACTTTTTTTCTGGTCTTCCTAGCTAGGTTAAGTAATACTAAGTAATAGAGTGTATTTACAACATACTCTCTTCAAAAGACAATTTTAAAACTAGGCAGACAAGATGTTCCCTGCCTTATGAAAGGGTTTATCAGGAGAGAAGGCATGTGCTCATTCTGAAATGCACACATACTCATTTTCCAAATATCCAAGGCTCTTGCCAGCCAGTTTCCAGCACTGACTTGCAGAATGCTCTGACCTTTGGTGAGGAAGTAAAAAGTATTTTCAAATTCTTCTCCACACTCTCACCATGAATGTGTTGTCAAATTTATATCCTGGCTATTTCTCTGGCATAAGACAGGAGCTGTTACATAATTCCAACAGCAAAAAAAAAAAAAAAAAAAAAAAAGTTCAAAGGAATTATTTGACTAAGCAAAAACCATTTGCGAAAAACCTGTTGCAAATCATAGTCTATAAAATCCTATTTTTGACTTTGTTTTCTTTTATTTAATGTAAAATATTGATTAAACAAAACACTGATTGAAAGCAAGTATCTGCTGGTTGCAATATTGAATTTGTTTATCAAAATAAGACATGCAAATTTAAGATGTGTTCTGACCTGTGTTCTGACCACATCAAAGTTAACTAAGTAAAGAAGCAATGACTCATGTTCTGTTTGGGACTTGAATTACTACTTGTTTAAGGAGGACACTGAGTCCTCTTTCTGAGACAAGATAAGTAAACAGGATATGCGCTTCTTACTGCTCCCTAAGAAGTCTTGAATTACTGAAATAGTGACTTTCAAAAGGCTGACTCATCTTTGAAAATCACTGGCCTCATTAAAATTTAATTATTATCCATTTTTAAAGTAACATTGCTTATAGAGTTGTGTCTGTCCCAATGTCTGAAATTAAATATGTTTTTGACCCCACCATAGCTTTTTAACTCAAAATAAGTATGTTTATGTTTTATTGATATATAATTAATTGCAATAATAACATTTTTTGCTCAAATACATATTACAATATTTCCTAAAATTTTGTAATTTGCTTACATAAAGACAGTGTCTCTTGCTCAATAATGTAAGGAGCTTTTTAAGAGTTTCTGTAATACTATACTAACACATTCATGGCACTTATTTATTTTGTAGTAGGAAGGAGTCCAAATATTTTGTAGATAATAACTCATTGCTCTGTAAAACAAATTCACAAGACAGGTAAAAAATATTCACCCTCTTTAAGTGAGAAAACTTAAGAGTTAACATAACTAACCTGATATTATGTAACAGAAATGGGCAAGGCAGAATTTACAACTTGATGAGGGTATGTCTAACCTATATTCCAAGGTCTTAACCTTTAAGAAAACTGTCACTCAAATGCATTGGGTCATTTCAGTTTTATATATTATAATAACACAAGAATTGATAAAAATGCATACACTTAGTTCTTAAATGTGAAGTAAGACAGATAAATAATCTTTTTACAATAGTTAGAAAGATGTGATTAGGCTGCAGGAAGCATAAGAAATTTCCCCAGTGATTTTACATAATTGTGTGGTTTGTATGTGATAATGAATGATTTCATGGGGAATAAATAACTGAGAATAGATCCAAGTATAGGAACACCAGGACAGAGATCAAAAACTGTTACGATGAATTAAATCTGGGAGGAATTTTTTGTCAACTTATCATTGAAAACACACAAATCTAACCAACCTATCACAAAAGCAATAGTATCATTGATGATCCCTGTGGGAAGTTTACGTGAACAAATTATGAATCTTAAAAAAAAATGCTTGTTTATAGACATGCTATATTCCCAAACATGTATTTTTCAGCATTATAAATAGACTCTCCAATGAATGAACAACATTTTAGGAAGCATGAGTTGACATAAGTCCCTTTTTTTGTTTACATCCATTAGTATCTTGTCAGTGATCAAAAATAAATATATATTCTGCAGGTATACTTTAATGGCTTACACAATTAAATTTCATAGAAATAGAAATTTTATCTGGCTCAAATTTCAGTTGAAATTGTGATCACCGAGGTGCATGCAACACCTCTGGAAAAAAATGTTCTTGTGGTTTGATTTTAAAAGAATGAGGCATGTGTGGTATTAGTAGCCAAATTGCAAGTGTGCTGATGGAGTAGCCAGTATTTAATATTGAACTGACTCTGATGTGCTTCAATGCCTTCTGATGAGGATCACCCTTTGGTTGGCTTTGTTTGCTTTCTCTTTTGGAAAGATTCAAGTGAAAGCTGTAGTGCCTATTGTATGCCTGACACCATGCTAAATGGTTCCCCTTCATTATTTGGGGCTTGATTTAGTTGCTATTATTGTTTTCATAGATAAAAGGAAAATGACGATTTCTTTTTTTTAAGGAAAGAGCCTTGTCTCAAATCACAGCTAGTAACCAGCAAAGTCCAGATCAGGGCTGGAAGATTGTCGTCAGTCTTCCTAGGGTCTCAAGTCTTCCCCACATCTCCTGCTGTGCATACCAAAACTGAGAGGCATGCCAGAATTTTACTTGTACCATGTCTAAGGATTAAAGACTCAGCTAACATTCTGACATGGGAACACACTGTTCACTTGGAAAAAGAGAAGGCTTGTTTGCAAGTTTGCTTTAAAAATAGTGTGTTTTCCAACTCTTTCTTCCAGAGTCGTCACGTAACTGGCTGTACACATATATTCATCCAAATCCATTGCGCTGGTCCAGGGAGACTTGTGGAGATGGGAGAAGTATTCTTGCTGTTTGCTTTCCCCTAATCATAAATTCTGTTATTTCTGACTCAGGAATTTTGTGTTTTCAGGAACCATAAAACAGATAGAGGTTAACTTTATAAGCAGGATAAAATACAATTTGAAACTTAATCTTGAAGCAAATGTCTGACTCCAAACCCCTCATCCAAACGGCAATTTATTTAACTGTTTTTAGCATAATCTGTAGATATGATTTAAAATTTTAAATAGTTCTATAAATCATAAAAACCAGTCACACCAAAGCTGGAGCGTTGGCTCAGTGATTAAGAGCACCTGGTGCTTTTTCAAGGACCTGTGTTTGGTTTCCAGAATCTACATGGAACCTTGTAGCCATCCATAATTCCAGGGGATCTGATGCACCCTTTTGACTTCTGTAGGTCCCTGGCACACGTGTGATGCTTATATGTATATACAGGCAAAATCCTTATACACTTAAAATAAATCAATCTAAGAATATATTTCTTTAAGTTCACAGCTTTATTTCACCCCCTTGTACCTCAGTTCTACTTCCTCAGTGTTACTTTCTTCAGCTATTTTTTGATTATTTATGTTAATATAGCTATGCTATTATAAAATG